ATGGTTTTGTAATGGCTTTGGTGGTGTTTTCAGCAAGGGTGGGTCAAATGTTCCATTGACAAACACTTTAAAGCTGCCATAACGGTTACTCAAGATGGATGTTGGTTCCTAGTTGTTTAGAAATGGTTCCAGATACCTGGGAACTTGAATGTGACATCACTCCCACCTAGCACCTACAACTGGTAGTTCCTCTGGTAACTTGCAGAATGAGAGCAAACAGGAGTTGTTTTTGGTCTTACCAAGGCAAAAGCCATTCAGGTATCACTAGCAATACAGCATAATACTTGTGGTTTTGCACTACTGCAGTAAAATCATGGATAAAGCCTGGTCAGTGCTCTCTGAATGGCTTATTTAGGGAGCCACAAATACACAACAGTGGCAGTACAGATCAAAGGTTTTCTTTTCTTGCAGGGCAACTCAGGGTTGCCGGTGTTGCTTCGACTTTCCAAGTGGGAAATGCGAGTTGGTGTTCTAGATTCAAATTCCAACTGGCAACTTGGAAATTCTGATTTCTGACTTATTCAGAAACGTAGAACAAGAGACTTTGCCAATTTGTTTAAGTCTACACTTCTCTTTCTTAGATATTCATTGAATTCCTTGGACATTCCCAATCAATACTCTCTTGACTGAGTATTGGTCAATCAAGTGAGTGCTGTCCTTTTTTATGCTGGCAAAGAGAATCTACCAGTTGTAGTTGGTCATGATCACTGACTGACTGATTGCGGTGTCCTACGACAACAGCTTCCGGACACCTATAATGCCGTGCTGAGATGCATTCCCAGGTGATTTAACCACCATTCAAACACTGACCCATGTGACCTTACCAACATGATGGGAGGGTTGGGCACCAACTCACAAATCTCCTGACAATATGCAAACATGCCCTGCCATGTCTGTGTATGTTGGAGCGACCTCCAAGGTGGCAGTCGGACTAGAGTTTGAAGTTGGAATTTTTGAGTTCCCAGTTTACTTTTTCAACTGGAATGCCACCTGTCAATTCAGATAGCCCCACCAACCCCAACATAGCAATTCAAGCTGGTGCAGTGCATGTAAACAGTAGTAAAACTGTAAAAATTGTAGTCTGTCACTGTCTTGTATTTATGATTTGCCACGTGGAGAGCATTGACCAGGCAAAACCAAATCCCATTTTTTCTTTTTTGTGATGTAACTCCCAAGTTCTGATATTTAGGAGGTGACCTCTGACGGTGGACTTTCTCTGGCTGTGATGGAAACAAGATAACATGTTTGTTTATTGCAGATGACAGCAGCTTGTTGAATCTGACTCCTCACCCACTGATAAGGCAGAGGAAGAGACGCTTCCCTGGACTCTGCTGCATGGTGTCCGGCTAAGAGTGTGACAGAAAAGGACTTTCATTTTAATTTGTTTTATTCAATAATGTATATTTATTTAGAGGCACTTTAATATTATTTAATCCCATCTTTCATTTTTTTAACCAATATCTGAAATTGTAATCTTGCAGTATCTGTTACCAGGTTCTATTTTTCCTCGTCATCTTGATATTTACTGTTTCAGACTTCTCAGCTCATGTGTTCAGGCAGCTTTGGTGCTTGAAGTTTCAGGATTGATTTTTCAAATGTATCTTATTAAGACCTTATTAATACCTGAGAGCGCGTAGGCTAACTGTTGGTAATATTGCTTTGCCATTCTCAGATTCAGGTTCCATCTTGTTGGGCTTTAAATACAGAGATATTTTTCTGGTGCTATTTATGACATACAGAACCACTGGGTGATGTATTAGAGCACCAGCAGGTCAGCCCAAAACAAAGGGCCCACCGTCAGCCACACCCTGCTCCGTTTAGATTTTTTTCTAACAACCTGAAAGTGTGCACTTAAAAATAAACAGAAAGGAAATCCAGCAACAGCCACTATCAGATGCTAACAAGGTAAAACACAAAGATGAAATAATGTTAGCTTCAGTTCACCAGTCTCTTCTCTGCTCACTCTGTTCCTGTTTCACCAACACCGCACAGAGCAGATGCACATGGTGAAACAGAGAGCAGAGGAGAAACCAGAAACAACATGTCCTAAATTAAGTAAATGTCATGAATAATTTTTTTTTTTATTTGGTTCATTAGAGCACTTAATACTGCACTTTGGCCAGTATTCACCTTGTGCTGCCATCAGAGTATTGGCAAATTAATAACTTTGACCAATAGCAGTTGGTAAAGATTGTTGCATAGAATCAATTTACACTTGCTAAATAGCGAGTACGTTATTTTTCAGGTCTTAAATTATAGCATGATGTCATGCTGAAAGACTTTAAAACAGTTTCATGCTGTAAAATTATTTTTATAATTAGTGTTGTAGAATTAAAGAAGTATTTTCCTGGGGGAAAAGGACACAATTGAAAATTTAGCTATCTACTATAAGCCCAAAATTTGGAAATTGTTTTAACCCCCTTTTTATTTTTGCAATAATGTGGAAACCATTAAATGTAACACAGGATATGAACCCTTATCACCCAGATGAAAGTCCCTTAATTGACCTAGCTGGCTAAAAGTGCACTACTTCTCCTAAAAAAGACCCATGATTAGCCAAAGTCATCAATGGTTAGATTTTCTAAAGCCTTCAATTAGAGTCCAGAGTAGGTGAAGAAGCCTAGTTCCCCCTCAGACCATTGGAATTACAATATAAAGAAAGTTTATTATGAATTGTGTTATTACTGGGGTCCAACATGTTGTCTACCAAAGCTTAAAAGTGAGACATCTTTGATTTTTGTGTTTGTTTGTTT